TATTATTAAAAACGCTATATTTGTGTACCTACTCTATCATTTAGCAAGATAGAGATCTACAAATTAAAACACGCATCATATCTTAACAAAATATATTACTTCCTTAATTCACTCTAAGTAGATTTCGAATAAACAAATTGGAGGTAAACTTATACTTACCTTTACTTTTTGAAATTTTTGATATACTTACTCAGATTCATGCTTCATAATTTGAAATTTGGTACGAGGGAAATCGATTTTTTCACTTTCCCGCCCTGTCATAAAATGGTGAAAAATGGCATACAATTAAGCTCAGCTGCAGAGATTTTAGTACTACACAGAATTAAGAGTTTAATATCTCTAAGAACACTACTATTCGGACCAAAGCCAGGTTGTGATCAGAGTCGTGCGAGATTGATAATCCTACTATAGGTACTAATCTATTTAAGCAATCAGTTTGTTAGTTCAGACTCTAAGCTTTCACATTTCATTTAACATAGATACCTATAAAGGAGAGCATCATGAAGAAGAAAACAGAGGAAGTTGTCATCGATGGATGTCCCAGAAAACCTCCTAGATCCAGAAAGAGGAAAAGCTCATATGACAATAACGACACCTGCAATGGAAAATCTGTAAAGGTAAATAAAAAAAAATCACTTAGATTCAAACTCATTTATAACAAGTTACATAATGGATGAACTTTTTAACGTGATGTCATTATCAGGGGATGAGCGTTGATAATCACATAGTAGATGGTGCAGAGGATCCTAAAACAACCAACAACCAGAAAAACGAGAAAACTAAGATCATCAACTCAAACCATCAAAAAACCTTCCAACACGAAAACTCAAGCATGTGTACCAGTAAGAACAATTTTTAGCAGAATCTTTGATGGTGTTAACAACATAAATACAAAGTGGAAGGGCTACGAGTTTGAAACGCGTCGATATTAATGGTTCCCCATTGTTTACAAAACCGACTTTCCAAGGTACTAAGTATTTCTCTCATGGCTTATAATTTAACTCATTGGCTTTACCGTTTATAACTTACGTAGTTTCAACTGTGAGTAATAGCTGATTGATTCATTTCGTCTGAAACAGTGCCTGATAGAACTCCAGTAAGTGCTGTCACACTGAACAGTCAAAGCGAACCACACGTGGTCGGAAGTTGATGCGAGATCTTTCCAGCCTGCAAACAATTGAGACGGAAACAAAAGTACCATCTTCTAAACGCAAACCTAGAGGAAAAATAAAACATACTGATGAGACTACTATTGAAGATAGACCACATAATTTCCCAGATTTGTTGGTATCTTCGGAAGGCAAGTTTATTTCTGGTTTGAGTATTGTTTTCAATAGTTTCATGGTGAATTCAAAAATTATCTAAACTATGACATTTTGTTATTTTGTAGATGATGATGGAGATTATGACCATATATTTCAGTGTAGTAGCCCAGAAACCACGGAAGATGAGTTATCAAATGATGAATCAAGTTGTTCTAAAGAGACAAACCTTCAGGATGTGATCAGCCTCAACCGGAATTCGCAGAGGTTAGATCCAAGAATCCACGAAAGCCGTGTGTCCAAGCTGAAACTAAGAAACAACCAAACTCGACAAAAGGAACCAGAGAGGAGGAAAGTGAAAACAAAGGAACCATTAAAACTTGGTAATTAATAGTCTTGCATAATCTTGGTAGTTTCTAATTTTGATGTTACACTAAGTTTCTGGTGATTTTGGATTGTCCCGTACAGAATATAATGATGAGGGTGATATGACATATCGTTGCACTCACTGTGATGCTAAGTTTTGGTATGGTGAACGTATCAACAAGAAGAAGAGGTCACGCAATCCAGTCTTCACGCTTTGCTGTATGCAGGGACAAGTAACGTTGCCGTTGCTAAAGGATCCTCCTCCTGAAATTAAAAATTTGATTTATGGAGATGATGAATTAAGCCGACATTATCAGAAGCACATCAGGCCTTACAGCATGCTTTTTTCCTTTACTTCAATGGGTGGAAGAGTTGATCATTCTGTAAAAAAAGGCAGGGGTCCACAAATGTTTCAGTTGCACGGAGAGAATTACCATTTAATGGGCAGCATGATTCCACAACCTGGAGATTATGCAAAATTCTATCAGATGTATATTGTTGACATGGAGAATGAGATCGAAAATAGGCTCACTTTCCTCAGGTAATTTATATTACATAGTTTATAATTTAATAGTATAGATTCTTGAATCACAAACAGTTTATGTTATCATTAGTACTAACCTGTTTATCCTCTCCTTATCCAGCAAGGCTAAAAATGCACAAGAATCAACTAAGAAGAACCGACTACGGAAGGAAATCATTGAATTGTTCGTCAAGGTCTTAGATGAGCACAACCCGTACGTGAAGACATTTCGGTCTGCAAGAGAGAGATTCAACACTGACCCTGAGCACAGTTTTCACATGAGGATTATAAGTGATCGTGTTACTGATGGAAGAACTTACAACACTCCTACGGCTTCTGAGGTTGCTGCAATCATTCCCGGAGATTTCAATTTTGACATGGGGAAGAACCGTGATATAATCCTACAAAAACAATCCGGAAAGCTGAGGCGTATTAGCGAGATTCATCCGTCGTATATCCCACTACAATATCCTACGTGTTTCGTTTATGGAGAAGATGGTTTCAGGCTTGGAATTAAGAAAGCAGATTCAGTTTACGGGAAAAAAAATAAGAAGGAAAACATCTCTGTTAGACAGTTTTTTGCTTTCCGTCTATTTGAAAGAACAAAAGAGTCTAACCATCTCTTACACTCGAGGAGGCTGTTTCAGCAGTACTTGGTCGATACCTACACCATGATTGAGACTAACAGGCTTACCTATCTGCGGATGAACCAGACAAGCTTGAGATCAGACAGTTATGACTCAATCAAACAAGCTGAAGACGCAGGTGTCATTGAAATGGAGGAACAAGGTAATAAGTTTTACTTGCATGCGTCTTTCACTGGAGGACCAAGGTATATGAGGGAGTTATATTTCGATGCGATGGCGATATGCAGACATTATGGTTTCCCGGATTTGTTCATCACATTTACATGCAATCCTAAATGGCCAGAACTAACCCGAGAGCTTGATGGTACAAATCTGAAACCTACGGATAGAGCTGAACTCATCTGCAGGCTGTATCATATAAAACTAGCGTCACTCATGGAAGACTTGACGGATAATGGACTCCTAGGCCAAACAGTTGCGTGTAAGTTTCTTACCAATCCATCATATTATAAGTAGTAAACTAACAAGTATGTTTTCATTTGATTTCTGCACAATTATTATTCCTATGATTCACGATCACTTCTTTTAACAATGCAGCAATGTATACAATAGAATTTCAAAAACGAGGACTGCCACATGCTCACATTCTTCTGTTTATGCATCAGAAGTGCAAGTTTCCAACTACGGATGATATCGATAAGATTATATCAGCAGAGATACCAGATAAGGTGGAGGAGCCAGAACTATATGAAGTTGTGAAGGATATGATGATTCACGGTCCTTGCGGTAATGTGAACATAAACTCACCATGTATGGAAAATGGAAAATGTTCAAAGCTATTCCCGAAAGCTCATGCAGAGAGAACCAAGATAAGCAAAGATGGCTTCCCAATATACAGGAGACGGGACCAGCCAGGTGTGTTTATCGAGAAGAATGGTTTCAAGTGTGACAACCGATACGTGATTCCATATAACAGAGCTCTGTCCATCCGTTACAAAGCTCACATCAATGTAGAATGGTGTAACCAGTCAGCTGCTATTAAGTACTTATTTAAGTATATCAACAAAGGATCAGATCGTGTTGCTGTCGTTGTTGAGTCAGCTGAGCAGGCCACACTTGGTGAAGAAGCACGGCAGAAAAAGAAAAATGGGAGACCTACTAATGGAGCTAAGCAGACTGAAGATAGTTCTGAGTCCACTGAGAAGGTTGAGCAGGTTAACGAGATTAAAGACTATTTTGATTGCCGGTAAGATGTTCCATCAAAATCTTAATATATTCTGTTTCCTTTGATAACATTTATGAATGAATTTTGAGGTTAGACACCGTTTTCTGAAATCAAGTTTTGAAACGTTTTGTGAAGGTTTGTAGGTGCTACAGAAGCTGTATGGAGAACACTGGGGTTTAAAATACATCATAGATCTGTGTCTGTGGTTAAACTCACTTTTCACTTAGAAGGGAAACAGCTGGTTATCTTCAAAGGGAAGGACAAGCTGGAAAGGGTTGTTACACGAAAACTGATCGAGAAGACTATGATGTTGGCTTGGTTTCAGCTGAATTTGGAAAATGAGTTTGCTAGAACGCTAACCTATGTTCAGATTCCAAATTTCTTTGTATATATTGCTAGCCAGAAACGTTGGAAAGAAAGGGAGACAGGTTTTGCAATTGGCAGAATCAACTATGCCCCAAGGAAGATTGAAGATGCTTATTATTGTCGAGTGTTGCTAAATGTTGTCCGTGGTCCCACATGTTTTGACGACATCAAGACATACAATGGAGTGCTATATCCGAGCAACAAGGATGCGTGCTATGCCAGGGGTTTGTTAGAGGATGACCAAGAGTACATTGATGACATTCTCAGGAGAAGCTTCACGACTTCCGCAGCTCAACTTCGGCAGTTATTCGTCACCATGCTTAATTCGACAGTTTAACTTCTCCAGAGCTGGTTTGGAAAAATACTTGGGAGGCTCTTTCAGATGACTTACAAATGATTAGAAGACGCGAGCTTAATAGACCAGGTATATAATAAACGCATTTTTATTTTTGAAAACTATATTACATAAAGGCTCTAATGGTGATGTATGTTTCAGAATATATCTTGAGTGATGAAGACCGGAGAGAATTGTGTTTGCAAGAGATTGAAAACATATTAAAAAGGAACGGTGGAGATTTCTCACGTTTTAAGACTATGCCGAAGCCACGAAGAACTGTTGCAAGAGAGGAAAATGTTTTAATCGTCGACGAGAAAAGCTACAATCAGAAAGAACAGAAAGAGAATCACGATAGAGATTTGCCAAAGCTAACCGATGAGCAGAAGAAAGTGTATGACGAGATTGTTGGTGCTGTTTTAGAGAGAACTGGAGGTGTGTTTTTTCTATTTGGATTCGGTGGAACAGGAAAAACTTTTCTATGGAAAATATTGTCATCGGCAATAAGATGTCGGGGAGAGATAGTTCTCAACGTTGCTTCAAGCGGTATAGCAAGTCTTTTGTTACAGGGAGGGAGAACGGCTCATTCCAGGTTTGGAATACCAATAAATCCTCATGAAACATCAACATGCAACATGGAAAAAGGTGGAGATCTCGCAAATCTGGTGAAAGAAGCTTCTCTGATTATATGGGATGAAGCTCCGATGATGCATAAGCATTGTTTTGAGTCTTTGGATCGCTCACTGTCTGATATTGTTGGTAATGAAGATGGGAAACCTTTTGGTGGAAAGGTTATGTCTTTGGAGGTGATTTTCGACAGGTTCTTCCTGTGATTCCTGGAGCCGGTAGAGCAGAGGTTGTATGCTCTGCTCTGAACTCATCTTATCTCTGGAAGCACTGCAAGGTTCTCAAGCTAACCAAAAATATGCGATTACTATCTGACAACTTGACCGCAGAAGAAGCAACTGATCTAAAGAATTTTTCTAAATGGATTCTTGATGTTGGGGATGGTAAGATAGAAGAACCTAACGATGGAGAAGCTGAGATAGATATTCCGGAAGAGTTTTTAATAACTGATGCAGAGGAACCTATCGAAGCCATAAGCAGAGAAATATATGGAGATGCTTCTGATCTACAGGACAATACAGATCCCTTATTTTTCCAAGGCAGAGCTATTCTCTGTCCCACTAACGAAGATGTCAACATGATCAATGAATACATGCTCGATAAGCTGAATGGTTAGTCTCTTCTTTTTCAGTTTGATAAGTCACAAATTGAGTTGCTTGCTAATTCAGTGCTATATGGAATTTAATTGAGTTTCTTGCTAATTAAGGTATATGATTAGAACGTTTTAAATTTCGTTTTCCAGGGGAGGAGAGAACCTATCTAAGCTCTGATACAATAGATCCTTGTGACACAGCCGCTATTAACGACGAGGCTCTAAGCACGGAATTCCTAAACAGCATAAGAGTAGCTGGTTTACCTAATCACGCTTTGCGACTGAAGGTTGGCTGTCCAGTTATGTTGCTCAGAAATATTGATCCCATAGGAGGTCTAATGAACGGAACGAGATTGCAGATAACTCAATTAGCTGATTTTATGGTTGAAGCTAAAGTTATAACAGGAGATAAGGTCGGTGTGAAGGTTATTATTCCTAGGCTTTTGATTACTCCATCGGACACCCTACTTCCTTTCAAGATGAGGAGAAGACAACTTCCTTTAGCTGTTGCATTCGCAATAACCATCAACAAGAGCCAGGGTCAGTCTTTATCACAGGTTGGGATATTCTTGCCAAGGCCTGTTTTCTCTCATGGACAGCTTTACGTCGCAATCTCCAGGGTAACCTCCAAGAAGGGATTGAAGATCTTGATCGTCGACAGCGAAGGGAAGCCGCAGAGGAGAACAACCAATGTTGTTTTCAAAGAGGTTTTCAAGAACCTCTAATCATTCTACTTCTATATGATTTTTGGATCCCATTACTAAGACATTGTTGAACTCATTATTTACAATGAGTCATATGGTAACCTATTGGTTCCACAATAATTTAATTCACGGATCATATTCAATCTTACTACGAGCTAAAAATATGGTTAGTTTTAATAAGTTCATTGATATCATAAAATTTGGTAATTGCAAAATAAGATATAAGTTGTGTTAATGAAATGTACTATTGTAGTATTATGGGCCTAGCAATACGAGTCTTACTCTCAATTAGATGGATCCAACAAGAAAAGTAAATCTCTGCTAAGTAAAATTATATTACGATGAATTAGGGAATATATCACAAATTTGGCATTTTGCCTTAGTGGACTCACTATAAAACAGGCCCGTTTCATCTATTTTAATTGTATCCATCAAGTCGAATTCAGTTTACTAGGGTTTTGATGTGCACATATCATTTCCAGTTTGTAATGAGATTAGATAGTGTTCAGTAAATGCCTCAAATTTCAAGAAAAGTGTAAGTTGACATACCTTTGCGTGTGAAGATATCTGTATCAGAGTCTCAGCTTTTCCTTTTTCCATTGAGAAGACAAATCTGCAAAAATCAATCAATGTCAATTTATTTATAAAAATATATAGATTCCAAATAAAACAAGGTGTAATAAAAGGAAAATAAATATACTACGGGACGATGTTGTGCCTATAAATACAAGAAACACAATTTAACCTATTCAACACAAGCAGCGTATACAAAACGACTAGATATGGCAAATATTTCAAGGGTTGTGGAGCTATCTCCTCAGAGGGACGATTGGATCATAAGAGTGAAGGTCTTGAAGAAATGGACCGAGATGATAGATGGTGGTGGAGAAATATTGCGTTTTCAGTTAGTTGATGAACATGTAAGTTTCTCGATCATGAGTCATCTCATAACAATAGTATAGATAAAGTTATTAGCACGATTAATTTAGTAACTGAAAGCTAACAGAGTCTTTTCTCTGTGTTTGAAAAATGGAAGGATGGAAAAATACCTGCTAAAGTTAGTGACGAGGATGGCCTATATGACCATTTCGACATGAATGTGCACGAGGGCCACTGGAAACTAATCTCCGGATTCGTCGTCGAGCTAACACCACCTGAGGAACTTTTCTCCGAGAATCAACATACAATCGTCTTCACCGACAATACAGACCTGCATGCAGCAAGTGGTATTCATCAAGAGCACTATATGAATTTCAAGGACTACACAGACATAAAGAATTGGGTGTACAACTCTCATCATCCTCTTGGTAAGTCAACTATTATGATCTCCTTATATTTGTACTCTGTTTGTGGAATTAATAATAAAAGTTTAACAACTCTATCCAAAACCCTTAGACCTTATAGGCTATCTGGATGGAGTTGATGAGCTTAAAGTTGTCAAAGACCAGAACTTTACACTAGATAATAACAAGAAGACATCCAGAGTTATGTTCACCATAAAGGGCTTAGAGTAAGTTAAGCAAGCTATGTTTGCTCGCATTTAAAAATTTCAACCTGTTATGTCTTTTTCTTTATATCTGACTAATCTAATCGACATTTTTATGATTGGGACCATAGTGGAGTAACAATGGAATGCAAAGCTTATGGAGTCTTGGCTGTTCAAATACATGATAAATGGTGGAAGCATGGTTCAACAGAAACATTCATTACAATGAGTGACTGGATGGTTTACCAAGAACAAAGTATGAAACTTTAGTCTAATGAATTATTTTACGAGTGTATCTATTACCTAAATCCAACAACTAATTGAAAGAAATCATAGGAACCGGAGAGCTGAAGATTAAGGACGCTGGAGGAATTTCTAGATTTCAGTTCAATGCTAACTATCAGGATGTTCTTGACTTCAGCGCTGAATAGTAAGTTAGATATCTATTATTTAATCCTTACAAACATTTGCTTTAAAAAACATTCATGATGACTAATACAAATGTTTTTGACCCAATTTCAAACAGTTTCCATGACAGTGATGGTTCCGTTGAGGAGGTGGTTGTTTTATCTCCATGAAATTCTACTATATCATCTTTTATATCGAAATTTGTGTTGCTTCAGTTGTTTTTCAACTTAATATTGTTTCAGTTTATGTGTGCTTGAGATGTTTTTATGAACTATCTACTTACCATGTTTTAGTCGCATCTCTATTTAATATTTAAACTTCTGTCTACTTATTCAAGATTTTCCCGTGCCTTAGTAGTTAAAAGAATATTCACAAATACAAAACCTCCAACGAAATATACACTATTCCATATATATTTTGTAATCAGCCTCATTTCTAATGAAGTAACTGAAATATAAACTCTCTGGTCAGATTAACCGATAATATTGGAATGTTTGTTTCGTAACTAACCATAGTGTATATAGTAGAAAATAACCATTTAAAATATGCAATTAGGATTATATTAACTGTAACGTCAAATCCGGGATTTGTTCCTAAAACATTTATGGAAATAGCCATAGTTACAATCATAGTTACCAAAAAAAACATAAAAAGAAAAGGAAAAAAGCATCACCATGCGTCGTTTAATATCGCACCGATTGGATGTATTCTTACCCTGATTTTATTCCTTATATACGCATATTCTTCTCCGAAGTAGAATTTAAGAGAAGAAAACTAAGTACTCTAAATCTCGAAACACAACTCCAATGGCAAACTTCACGAAACTTGCCGACGTCTCAACTAACAAACATGATTCGATTGTTTTGGTTAGAGTTTCAAAGATGTGGGATACGTTGGAGGCAGATCTGGGTGAAGGTCTAAGTTTTCTTTTTGTTGACGATCAGGTTTTTTTCAATCTAACAAATAATCTGATACATAAGTTTAACTTGGCACAAAAGCATTGTACTAATGGAAATTTTCAACTCTAATAGGGCACAAAGATGCATGCATTCGTTGAAAAGGAAATCAGATGAATAGGTTTAAGAGATGTCTTCATGAAGGGGAATGGAAGATTCTAACCGGATTTTCAGTTATTATGGTTGAAACAGAGTTCCGTTTGACGGAAGCAAGAAAGAAGATTGCTCTAACGTCCAACACCGAAGTCACACCTGCAGCGGATACAGATGTTTTTATTCCCCTTGATATTCTGCCTTATGAATATGTCTTGGGCGACAGTTCTAATGTTGAAAATTTCTTTTACCAGAGGTTACTTTTTCTTACTTCTCATTTTATTCTCCCTATTCAAGGATCCCTATAAGAAATGTGGCTTTCATATATTAACGTTATTTATGTGTTCTTTATGTAGATTTTCTAGGTTTTATATTTGAAGTGAACATCACCAAGCTCACTGAAGATGACTCCATTCCTAGGAACGCACTAAACGATGATCCAAAAATCACTAACTCGATAGATTTCACCCTCCAGGATAACGAGTACGTATATATTTAATACCCTTGAATCTCTTAACATATATACAGTTTCTGAATTGTAATTCTATATATTTGAATAATTGTCCGTTTCTTTAGTGGTGCTCGAATAATTTGTCGTGCAAAGGGGGCCTTAGGAGCTAAATTTCTACGATTTTGGCTTTACTATGGTAAAACGGAGAGCATAGTATGCTTCTTAACTGATTGGCGGATTTTTGGTATAGATGGTTAGTATATAGAAATTTTTGTCTAATACAAATTCTGGATATAAATTTTGGATAATTATAGTGATGTTGTGATGTTATGTTATGTTGTATATGTCTAGATCCTGTTCATGTCCAAAGTGAAGAAGGAATCTCTACATTTTAATTCAATCCTATTGGTTTAGCTGAGATTGATTATTTCACGGAAATAATGTAAGTATTCTAACTATGACATTACCTATACATTTGAGTTGCTATGACCAATTATTTTCCATATTATAGCTTACAAAATCTAATTTCTTTCATGTAGGTGCTCTTCTGATCCAGACAGTGAAGAAGAAGAAGATGAAGAAATGGAATTTGATTACTTCAACGGTTGTAAAAGCGAGAATAAAAAGTGATGTCCATCTTTATTCTCTACAAAATATTCCGAACATGTTTAAACTGAATGCACTGTGTTTACTTTTCTTTATGCAACTCATTTAATACAACAATGTATAAAACCTTCGTTTAATGTTTTACAATCAACTATTTTTTGATTTTGTGGCGGTTGATTTCATCTGTTCATAGGCTATATCAATATCAACACAAATAATTCATTTCACAAATAATTGACAGCTACATGTATAAACAAACTGTGAAATCATATATTCGAGTAAGCTATGAGAAGAGGAGAATAGTTACCTCTGTCTGTTTTGAATTCATGTTTTTGTCAGAATTGAAGACTTATGTTTCCGTGCTCAATCCTCTTCGCCGATGATCACGGGAAACGACCCTCAGACATACAAACAATAATTGTGATTAAGAAATCTTTAATCAATTAACTCATAGACATTATTTCTCCATAGTAAAGACAAGTTATGATTTTTCGAGTTTAATAGTATAGATAACTATTGCCACTATCATTAGGAAGAGTGAATAATTTGTGCTCCTTTCAATATCGTTATAATCATAGCAACGAGTTTGGATAATCTGAATTCGCAACGAAGACTAAATGCTACTATCAGGTACGCAAAGGAAATCTCTTCAGTTTAGGGATTTACCTGAGCTACAGATCGAATGGAGTGCGATGCCGCGAGTAGAGACCGACTATTCTGGAGGCATATGAGAAGAGCGGAGGAGAATCCAAGAACAAGAGTTACAAACAAATGGGAAAACGAGCTCAGAACGAAGTGATTAACTTTTGGATGAAGACGGTGAAGACGAAGATCGGAAGCAAAAATCCGAGATAGAGGAAACGACGGTGTTTCAAGGAAACGGACAATTATTAAACCGACTGAATAGATCCTGGTACAACTTAATTCTGGAGGCATATGAGAAGAGCGGAGGAGAATCCAAGAACAAGAGTTACAAACAAATGGGAAAACGAGCTCAGAACGAAGTGATTAACTTTTGGAT